AAAAAAAAATCTCATAGCCGTTTTCAAGACGAATACAACACTTTCAACAAAGATACTTTCAACCGCTACAGTTCACTTTCAATATATTCTATCACATGCGATATCAACCCTGAGGACAACAGTCCACATAGTCTGAATGGAACCCTAATCACGGTTACCCGTGCGGGAAAAGAATCAATACCCTTACATCGTTCATATCGTGGAATTCCAAGCAATAAAACTAAAGTAAATCAATCAAAGCTAAGAAATCAAAACGCTCACCAAATTCTGGGCAATCCGATGGCACTCAAGAAGAGCTGGGAAAGATCGACAAAATAAAAATCATACTGGTTGGAGATGAAATCGCTTCAGTATGAAAAAAATACCCCAAAAAATATACAGTGAACATATGCAGGTAAAATAGGGACAGTCAGGGAAAAGGGCGGGTCAGTAACAGGAACGGAGCATGGCAATTGTGCACATCAAACTGCGTTTAGTCGTTCTGAATCAGAGTACTCATGGTCAAAAGAGCAGTACTATTATAGGCTCATATCCATATTCTTTCCCATAAAGTATCGATGTAACTAGTTTTCGATGTAACCTTATTTAGATCTCTTTTTCGGAAAAATCAGACGCCATTTCGCGATTTCGGCAAATCAAACGGAGTAAGTCGACAGATCAATCCAGTTTTCGAGTTGATCGATCTACCGACACACTTCGCTTCATTCGTTTGATATCGAGTGGGTCGAAAAGAATTGTAAGTGGAGGGTCAGCTTGAATTCGAATCGAAATGGAAAGGGAACATGTGCCTCAAGGGGATGAATGTCGACGTTTGTTGAGAGATGATCTTGAACGTTAGATGATCCTTTTCTTTTAGGGATACAAACAGCTCTTGTCACTGATGCATAAATTCAGAAGTCATTGAGGCACGGACATCCAGGTTAGTTATATAAAAACAGCCTTTGATTGTTAGTTAAGTTCTTCTCCGTTGAAGCAAGTTCTGATAGCGCAGGGAATGTAATGGCCCAATCGAAAACGATAAATCCTTATTCAGAAAACAATAAAATATAAAATCTGTGAATATGGCTGACATATATCCAAGTTGCAGGCGTCAAAAAGATGTAAATATTGAAGCGAAAAGCAAGCATTCCATATTTTTCATTCTATTTCGGAACACTTCCATTCTTGGTCCTTTCTTATGCAAATATAATAAGACCAAGGAATGTGATGCCCTTGGAGCTAACCTGATCATGGAGTGGATTCCGTGTGTTGAACTTCTCCAGCTCGTTGTTCCCGATACTCCATCCCGATATCGCGAAACCAACTTTGAGAAATCCAACTTTCGATCAAACAGGAGCTTGAGGAGACTGAACATTCTTGGACGCCGGGGC